TCCTCCGTTCTCCTCTCAGGATCTTGGGCACGCATGCACATGTGCCCGGCGTGAGTTTAAGCCACCGGGTCTGGGACTTGAACCGCAGTCGGCCACATGGGAGTCCAGCGACATAGCCATTATGCTAACTGCTAGTCCCAGGAAAAGAAATGGTTCTTTTGGGAAAATTTGTTATCTTTTGCTTTTTCCTAACTGTTTCTTCTTTAAAAATCAGTGGAATTTCAGGGCAAGTGTTATTTTTATTTATTTATTTTTGAAGAGCTTTTTGCTGTAGGGCACATGTGCTCACTGGAAAGATAGAGAGAAACAGAAACAGAAAGTGAGAAATCACCCCCCAGGGGATGGCCACACCGCAATCCCTTCTCCTCCATTCTCCTCTCAGGATCTTGGGCATGCACGCACACGTGCCCGGCATGAGTTTAAGCCACCGCGTCCGGGACTCAAACAGCGGTCGATTGCATGGGAGTCCAGCGACATAGCCATTATGCCAACTGCTGGTCCCAGGGCTAGTGTTATTTTTTAAAATCCCTGAGAATAAACGGCAGCACAGAGAGGCTGTCCCAGACATGGAGACTGAGGACCATGTGTCTCAAGGCCTGGAACAAAGCTATGCACGAGGGAATACACAATCAGCAGTCACCATGTTAGAGACCAACGTGAGAAAATGAAACTGAGCCATAAACCCAAGAAGGGGTTTCAAGAGATAGACACATCTGTTAAAATAAGGGGCAGCAACTTTTATTTTTTTTGGAGAGGTTTTTGCTATAGGGCACGTGTGCTCGCCAGACAGACATTTTTGAAAGCAGATTAATCTGATTCTGACCTGGGCTAAGCAGGGAGCGCAGTGTGAGACCCACTGATTTCCACTAGGGGGCAGTGGTGCCTCGGCACACCAGCATGGATTTCATCCTACCACTTTGGGTCAGGGACAGCAGGGCCTCCTCCAGGAATAGTTAGGTGGCCCTGCTCAAATTTACATAATGTTCATTCTGTTCTTACTCCAACAAAAGTCTTAATCTAAAGCCTCTGAATCCTTTAAACACTCAGGGGCCAAGGATGAGAAGCTCCCCCTTAGGTTATCTGTTCTATTTGGATTTCATTAACCTTACTCTGGTTTACACATTTGCATTGCAGGAGGAGCTCAACTCAACAATGCTGACTCTCTACCTCTGTAAGCCTGTCCTCCTGCTCCACTGACACTACGCCAGAGGTGATGCAGATGTCAGAGGTCAGTCAGTCAGAGACATCATCACAGGAGGTGCTTCCATTTTGACAGCTGCCTTCAGCCTTTATGAAATCAAAATTCTTTTTACTTTTTTTCCTCTGGCTCACAATATAAATCCAGACAAATATTAAGATTTATGAGAAAATACACACACTCAGTGAATGACAAGGCATCTATCTTCTTGCTAAAAGAATTTGCCTTATATTAGAAGACCTAGTCTCCTAGCTATCTTAACTCACGGTGTACAACTTTGCTAACTGCAAATATTTACGCGAGGTGTCAAACCGATCAACGGCTACACGATGTACTGTTCATCCCTACCCCATTTTTACTGTGGAAGAGTTTGCACGTTCGGAGGTGGGTATCATGGAGAACACCACAACCTCATGTCTAGCTGTGTCTGAAGATCGTACCTGCTATGAAATACTGGCCAAAAACTGGGAAAACATACTTGGCTTGTGCATTCCACACATTTTAAAGTCTTCTCTGAGGACACTAAGAATGCCTGCCTTTAAAGGGCTGCTCTGCCAGGCTTTCCCAGTCCTGCATCCCCATCAACTGCAAGAAGCATCAACGACTGATTACTAGATTATAGTGTCAGACATCAAACACACCCTAATTTCAAAAATGCCAGCAAATGTGCAAAAACGTGTCTCAGAATCAAGGAGCAGTGCCTCACTCGGAGTCAGGATACGTGGGTTTATAAGGAAACATTTCATTTACCATCTGAGT